AGCTAAGACCTAGGTGCCTGATTGGTCAGCTCCGGAGAAGAGGCGGGACTAGGGAGAAGACTGCGGACGCCGAGTGGCCAGATCCGGGACATTGGGGCGGGCCCTGCGTGCGTACGCCCCGCCCGTCGAGGACTGCTCTGGGCTGGCGGCCGGCCGGCGGCTTCCCGGCCGGGATGGCGGCCCCGCGGCGCTGCGCGGAGCGGCCCTGCTGCTCCTGCCCCGGCGCGGTGCCCGGCGTGCAGCAGACGCTGGAGGAGATGGACTTTGAGAGGGGTGAGGCGGCCGCGCCCTGCCTTCGGGACCCTCCCTGACGCGGGGCCGAAGAGGGGCCGTGAACGCGACCCCGAGGGCTCTGGGCCTGGTGCGGGTAGGGGTGTTTGCCAGGGCGCGAGCTCGTTGGACATCTCTTCTCGCATGCAGACGGGGAAACTGAGGCAGTGGCTTCCGTAACTTTCCCAAGTGGTAGGGGCAGAGCCCTCACCTGGTGACGACCTCACCTGGCAGAGACACAGCCCTGCTCAGGTGTGGGAGAGGGGCCTGGGTGCAGAATCTGCCGCTGGGGTATCGCACCCTCCCTGAGGGCAGGGAGCTTGCCTGGGGACTCTGCTGAGCCCGCCACAGGCTTTCGATATGGCAAAGAGCTTCACACAGATAGCTCTCGAGGCAGGACCTAGTGTCCCTATCCGTGGTGCCGGGAGAGGTCATTTGCTTCCGATTATACCGCGATTATGGTGCCAGTAGGAACCGAAGAAGGCGGAAACCAACGTCTCTCTTCGTGTTTGGAGCTGCTGTGCTGCTGCTGCAGTTGTGATCACACTGTCAGCAATTGCCGGGTGGATGCTTTATAAGCATTCGCATTTAACTATTACTATGTAATGTTGTCGCATCTGCCAGCTTCCCTCCACCTCTCTGCACTACTGAAATAGTTCCTTTAGCGGGTCCTCTGCGTCTGCTCCTGCCCTCCTGCAGTGCCTTCTGCACTCCACACAGCAGCCAGAGTGGCTTTTTGAAAATGTCAGGCCATTGCCTTGCTAAGCTATGGTGTGCTCATGTGCTCTTTGAGCTATGACCAGGCCATGTTTCCTGGCTTTGGCCCCCTCCCTAGCTTGGGGAAGGGAATCTCTTCTCTCTCTCTCTCCGCCCCCCCCCCCAATTTACTTTCAAGATAAACTATATTTTCTAATTAAAAAAAAAAAGAAAATATGAATCAGATCATTCCCTGTTATGGCCTGCAGAGCTCTGTGGTCCTCACCCATGCATACTCCCTTCGCTATCCTCATTTTATTTTTCATCCTTTTCTTCCCTCAGTCACTATGCTTCAGCCACACTAGTCTTTTTTTATTTTTTTTGAATTGGAGTCTCACTCTGTCGCCCAGACTGGAGTGCAGTGGCTGCTCCCGGCCACCACAGCCTTGACCTACTGGGCTCCGGCGATCCTTCCGCCTCAGCCTTCCGAATAACTGAAACTACAGGCGAGTGCTACCACGCACGGCTGATTTTTTTTTTTTATTTATTGTAGAGATGAGGTCTCACCAAGTTGCCCAGGCGGGTCTCGAACCTGCGGGCTCAGGCAGTCCACTCACCTCAGCCTCTCAAGGTGCGGGATTACAGGCTGAGGCACGAAGCCCGGCTAGCCACACTAGTCTTGTTTTGGTTTCCGAGATAATGCAAGACTTTTTCCTGAGTTAAGGCCATTGTACCTGCTGTCCCATCTGCTTAGGAGGGAACTTCCTACAACCAAGAGGCGAGCTGATGTTTTACCTTCCTATCTCAACTCAGATGTCACCTCCCCAGAGAGACCCCATCCTAGTAGTTCTCAACTGGAGCAGTTCTGCGCTTTCAGGGACTTTGGCAATGTAGAGCAGTGATTCTGGTTGTCACAGCTGGGAGGATGCGACAGGCATCTCGTAAGTAGAGACAAGGAATGCTATGTACACCCTATCATGCACAGGACAGCTCCCCGCAGCAAAGATTTATCTGGCCCAAGGTGTCAGTTGTGCTGCTGTTGAGAAAGAAACCTCGCCCTATCCAAAGTTAGGCTTGTTGTCCTCTAGGCTACTCTGATGTATCTATCATCCTGCTTTCATCAAACCAATTTTTACAATCTGACATTATTTGTTTGCTTTATGCATGCATTATTTATTTCCCATACCTGGAGAAGATCCTTATCTATTTTGTTTTGTAGATTTTTTTGTTTCTTCGTATCTTCTTTTTTGGTTCCTTTGTTTCATTTTGTTTTGTTTTGTTTAGATAGAGACTATATTGCCCAGGCTGGTCTTGAACTGCTGGACTCAAGTAATCCTCCTACCACAGCCTCCCAAAGTGCTGGGATTACAGGCATGAGCCACCATGCTAGGCCACAGTACATTATTTAACAATTCTTTCAGCATGGGTGCCTTCCCCCACATACACACTTGTGATAGCTTAGCCAAGTATAAAATAATAGGTTGACAGTTATTTTTTTCCTCTCAATTTTTTGAAAATACTACTTTATCTTCTTGTATCTGCTACTGCTGTTAACTCTGCTGGTTATCTGGTTGTTGACATTTGATGGGTGATGATCTTTTCTTTGTGGTAACTTTTTTTTTTTTTTTTTGAGTCGGAGTCTCACTCTGTCGCCCACACTGGAATGCAGTGGCCGCTCCCAGCCACCGCAGCCTCGACCTGCTGGGCTCCGGCGATCCTTCTGCCTCAGCCTTCCAAGAAGCCAGAATTACAGGCATGCGCTACCACGCCCGGATGATTTTTTGATTTATTGTAGAGATGAGGTCTCGCTGCCCAGGTGGGTCTCGAACCCACGGGCTCAGACAATCCACTTACCTCAGCCTCTCAAAGGCGCGGGATTATAGGCTGAGCCACCGAGCCCGGCTTTGTGGTAACTTTTAAATGCTCTCTTTATTCCTGATGTTAAGTCATTTCACTATGCTAGGTTTGTTTTTATTCATCTTCCTTAAGATTTAATGTGGCTTTTCATCTGAGGACTCATGATGATCTTTAATTCTGGATAATTCTTAGATGTTATTCCTTCAAACATTGCCTCTCCATTTCTTTTTCTTTTTTTTTGAGTCGGAGTCTCACTCTGTCGCCCAGACTGGAGTGCAGTGGCCGCTCCCAGCCACCGCAGCCTCGACCTGCTGGGCTCTGGCGATCCTTCCGCCTCAGCCTTCCAAGTAGCTGGAACTACAGGCGCGCACTACCACGCCCGGCTAATTTTTGATTTATTGAAGAGATGAGGTCTCACTAAGTTGCCCAGGCAGGTCTCGAGCCCACGGGCTCAGGCAATCCACTCACCTCAGCCTCCCAAGGCGTGGGATTACAGGCTGAGCCTCCGAGCCCGGCTCATTAACTTCTAGTAGACATATATGTTGGTACCTTCTGTCTTCCATATTTTTTTACTGCTCTTTAATACTTTTCTCTAAGACAATAAAAGAAAACTGCAAGGCAGTATCCCTGATGAACATAGATGCAAAAATCCTCAACAAAATGCTAGCAAACCAAATTCAGTAGCACATTAAAAAGATCATTCACCATAATATTTTTCTCTGTATTATCTTGTGCTGTATTCTGGGTGAATTTCAAATGTAGTCTGGGTGACTTTCAAATGACTAATTTTCTCTTTGTGTGAATATGCAATACTTGTTGACCCATCTGTTGCTGTTGTTTTGTTTCAATGATTCTACTTTTTTTTTGAGTTGGAATCTTACTCCATTGTCCAGGTCGTCGTGCATTAGCACATTCACAGCCACCCCAGCGTCGACCTGCTGGGTTTGCTGGGTTCCGGTGATTCTTCCACCTTAGCCTTCTAAGTAGCCGAAACTACAAGCGCATGCTACCATGCCCGGCTAATTTTTTTGACTTATTGTAGAGACGAGGTCTCACCAAGTTGCCCAGGCTGGTCTCGAACCCCTGAGCTCATGCAATCCTCTTGTCTCGGTCTCCCAAAGTGCTGGGATTTTAGGCTTAAGCCACTGCGCCTGGCCTAGGATATTTTTTTATTGTTGCCTCTGCCTGGCCCTTAGGGTTCACTTGTCTGGGTCAGCTTTTATGACAGATCCAGATTATAACCGATTCTTAGCTTAGAGTTTTCGTTCTCCAAGGGTCCCATACCACCAAGTAGCACGTGTCAGGGTATCTTATTTTCTATGTTTTGTTCTGCCTTTGCTGTCTTCTGACACCTATTTGGTTGGTACCTTTTCTTATTTCTTTTAGGTCTCTGTTCAAATGTCATCATTTTTTCAAACTATTTTATTTTTATTTATTTATTTATTTATTTTTGAGTTGGAGTCTCACTCTGTCACCCAGACTGGAGTGCCGTGGCCACTCCTGGCCACTGCAGCCTCGACCTGCTGGGCTCTGGCAGTCCTTCCGCCTTAGCCTTCCAAGTAGCTGGAACCACAGGCGCGCGCTATCACACCCGGCTAATTTTTGATTTATTGTAGAGATGAGGTCTCACCAAGTTGCTCAGGCGGGTCTCAAACCCGCGGGCTCAGGCAGTCCACTCACCTCGGCCTCCTAAAGTGCTGGGATTACAGGCTGAGCCACCGAGTCTGGCCCAAACTATTTTATTTTTTTAAATAAAAATTAAGTTATGAAAAAAATAAGTCTATTCCCTATAAAGTAAAATCATATCTTTGGGTTCACATTTAAAAGTCTGTAAGATTAATTCAGGTTTATGCCAAGAATCATTGCTCTACTTCCACTTCTTTTTTTTTCCCCTTTTTCTTTTCTTTTTTTTTTTTTGAGTTGGAGTCTCACTCTTGCCATCCAGGCTGGAATGCATCAGCACGTTCATGGCCACCACAGCCTCGACCTGCTGGGCTTAGGTGATCCTTCTGCCTCAGCATTCCAAGTAGCTGGAACTACAGACACATGCCACCACGCCTGGCTAGTTTCTGTGATTTATTGTAGAGATGAGGTTTCACCAAGTTACCCAGGCTGGTCTCAAACCCTCGGGCTCAGGCAATCCTCTCACCTCAGCCTCCCAAAATGTTGGGATTACAGGCTGAGCCACCATGCCCAGCCCACTTCTTTTTTTTAAATCTACAAATTTAGGGAATTTTTTGGAGGTTAATTCTCAAGAACTTCTACACGTGAACAGATTATGAGAAAGTACAGCACAACCCTGAAACAACAAAAAGCATTTGTTCTCTGACCCAATTTTTGTGCATCAGAAATTTAGGAGCAGCTTAACTAGGAAGTTCTGGCTTAGGGTTTCTCATAGGTTTGCACTAAATTTTTCAGCAAGAGCTGCAGTCTTTGAAGACTTGACTGCGGCTGGAGGATTTACTTCCAAGATGGCTCACTCATCTGGCTGTTGGCAGGAGGTCTCAGTTCTTTGCCATATGAACCTTTCCATAGGACTGCATGAGAATCTCAAGACAAGGCATCTGACTTCTAGAGTGAGCAATAATTCTGTAGGGCAGAAGTCTGGACATGGTGTCACAGAACTCTCTATTTAGGACCTCGAAGACTGAAATCAAGGTGTTGATTTGGCTGCATTCTCATCTGGAGCTCAGAGTTCTCTTCCAAGCTCATATGGTGTGGTTGGATTCCACACCTTGTGGGTGTATTTTCTTATTGGCTGTTAGCTGGGAGCTGGTCTCAGCAACCAGAGGCCACTTGCATGCCTTGCCATATGGCCTACTCCATCTCCAGAGTCAGCAGTAGAGAACCTCCCTCATTTTTAATCTTTCACGCTTTGACTCTCCCAAATGTTATCTTATCAAAGAGACCATCCCTGACCGCATATTCTCCTTGCCTGCTTTTTCTTCAGAGCATTTAGCACCACCTGACTTATCTTATAAAATACCTAGAATAGCCAGTCATGGTGGCTCACTCCTGTAATCCCAGTACTTGGGAGGCCAAGGCGAGAGGATTGCCTGAGCCGAGGGGTTCAAGACCAGCCTGGGCAACTTGTCGAGACCTTGTCTCTATAATAAATCAAAAAATTAGCCGACTCTTTTCCTCGGAGCAGACAGCCGCAGTGGTGGTGGCCTGTGCAGCAATGACCAAGATTAAGGCCCAAGACCTTCGCTGCAAGAATGAGGAGCTGCTGAAATAGCTGGACAACCTGAAGGTGGAGCTGTTTCAGCTGCGGATCGCCAAAGTGATAGGCGGCACTGCATCCAAGCTCTTTGAGATCCGAGTCGTCCGCAAATCCATTGCTTGTATTCTCACCGTTATTAACCAGACTCAGAAAGAAAGCCTCAGGAAGTTCTATAAGGGCAAGAAGTACAGGCCCCTGGATCTGCAGCCTAAGAAAATGTATGTCATGCGCCATAGGCTCAGCAAGCACAAGGGGAACCTGAAGACCAAGAAGCAGCAGCTGAAGGAGTGGGTGTACCCCACTGCAGAAGTACGCAGTGAAGGCCTGAGCACCCATGAATAAAACACAACTGGCTGACAAAAAAAGAAAAAAAATAGCTGGATGTGGTGGTACGCGCTGTGGTTTCGACTACTTGGAGGACTGAGGCAGAAGGATCACCTGAGCCCAGCAGGTCAAGACTGCGGTGACCATGAGCATGCCACTGTATTCCAGCCTGGACAACAGAGTGAGACTCTTATTCGAAAAAGGAAAAAAAACCCAACTACAATACCTAGAATATACATGTATAAAAAATATATAAAATATAATTTATATAGTATAAATATACATAATAAATACATGTAGAGCTACACAGACATGCACATATAAACAAATATATATTTGTTTCTCTGTTTCTTTTCATTAGAATGTAATCTCATAAAGCAAAAATTTGGGGGGGGGATCTTTTATTCTTGACTACCTCTAGTACCTAAAATAGTGCTGTGTACATAATAAGTATTCATTACAGCCAGGCTCGGTGGCTCAGCCTATAATCCCGCGCTTTGGGAGGCCAAGGTGAGTGGATTGCCTGAGCCTGCGGGTTCAAGACCCACCTGGGTAACTTGGTGAGACCTCATCTCTACAATAAATCAAAAATTAGCCGGGCGTGGCAGCATGCGCCTGTAATTCTGGCTACTTGGAAGGCTGAGGCGGAAGGATCGCCAGAGCCTAGCAGGTCGTGGCCACTGCACTCCAGTCTGGGCGACATAGTGAGACTCCAACTCAAAAAATAAAAAAAAAAAAATATTCATTACATACTTGCAGAAGGAATGAATTGCCTGGGCGTGGCAGCTTGCTTGCTGCTGTTCTGCAGGGCTGGAGAGGGGAGACTCCAGTCCCAGCCCCTCCATGCTGTGGTACATCCTGCCTCCCAGCTTCATGCACAGAGCTGTGCTCTGCTCTCTGCCACACACATGGACTATAGCTTTCTCTCCAGACCCTGGTCAGGCATTCATGCCAAAGTCCCAAGCTGTTTGTCCAGTTCTGAATGCCCCTGGGTTCTACAGCTCTAGCGCCTGCTACCTGCTTTGGCTGTGGTTTTCACTTTGTGAAATTTCCTCTTCTTGCCTTTGGATTTGACAGCATATTCAAACACATGAAATATTACTTTATCCAGCATTTGTGTTTGAAGTAAGATGAAGGGACTTCTGTGTCTGCCCAGTCCTACTACTATGATTAGACATTCCCCTAGTCACAGCTGTGTCACCAGCACCCGGAATGATCCTTGGCACAGAGGAAGCCCTCAGTTATTACTGTTGAAGGAATAAATAGTCTCCATTTGATAGACAAGAAAACTAAGGTCAAGAGGTAAAGGAAGCACAAGAAATCCTATTATTCAGCATTATTCAGGACTTTGCTTGGCTTTCTGCAGGAATCTGGTCAGCAGCCCTGAACGGAGACCTGAGCCGAGTGAAGTATTTAATTCTGAAGGCAACGGACCCTAGTCAGCCTGATTCCGCTGGCTACACCGCTCTGGTGAGCTGGGGAGGGACACAGCGTCAGCAGGGAGCCAAGCTTTAAGTCGGGATCTTTGCTTTCCATGGAGTGGGACTGAGACTTACTTTTTTTCTTCTCCCTCCCTTTCTCCTCTTCCAGCACAGTTTCTCTTTTAAGCATCATGCGAGCCTGGGTTTTTTATATGAGTGTCAGAGCTTCACATCAATTATTTAGTTTTACTTTCATATCAATCCTGTGAGGTAGGAATTATTATTTCCCCCATTTTCCAGTTCAGCAAGCTGAAGTTAGAAACAAAGAAGCTTGCCCAGGTCATTCAGCTTCTGGGGGTGACACCTGAGATGACTCTAAGCCCCTCGCTGCAGGGCCTTGCTCTGGCCCCTTCACCACCCTCATTGCCTGCCTGGCTTCTGCTGTGTGACCTTGGTCTCTGTTCCCTGCAGCATTATGCCAGCCGCAATGGACACTATGCTGTGTGCCAGTTCCTGCTGGAAAGTGGAGCTAAGTGCAATGCCCAGACCCACGGGGGTGCCACCGCTCTGCACCGGGCCAGCTACTGTGGGCACACTGAAATCGCACGGCTCCTTTTGTCACATGGGTCCAACCCCAGGCTGGTGGATAATGATGGCATGACCAGTCTACATAAGGTATGCTCCTTCCCCCTTTCCAAATGCTTTTTTCCTTCTAGAAGTTATAACATGTTCATGTAGAGAGCATGGGGAGAAAGAGAAGCACAGAGAATAAATGAAAATCATCTGTAATCTCTGCTCACCTCTTGTCACTGTAGGACTGATGTTTCATTTTCCAGCCTTCCTCCTGTGCTTGTAAATTCAATGTGCAGTGTCACTTTAGCATTCTTTCCTTCAGTGATACATCACGAAGGCTTCTTCACACATTTAGTCTTCTGAAACTTGTGTCTACTTTTGCCCCTCCCTGTAGTCCCCTTTCTGTTTTACAGCCAGAGTGATCCTTTCATCAAACTCTTTCTGCCTGGAAATGCCTACTCAAGGTCAACATTCAAAATGCTCAGAAGCATGTTCTGCCAACCCCACATCCCTCGGCCTTCTAGGCTACCTCCTTCAAGGCTTTCACGTTACTGGTTTTCTGTGTGTCTTTGAGAGGAGGTTTTTGCATATTTACAGCACATGTGTGTGAACATAGTCTTCTCTTGCCTCCACTTTGATTTTCTCCTAGAGCAGTGGTTTTAAAAAGCAGTTCTGATCAGGCCCATGCTTACGTGGAATCCTTCAGCGGCTTCCTTTTTCCCAGGTCTGTAAGTTACTCTGCCAGATTTTCTGGGGTTGGCTCCTGCCTACATCTCTAGTTGTATCCTGAGCTATTGTCCCTTGTCCCTTATACCCAGGCCCTACTAGTCATTTTTCTTTTCTTGAACCAACTGCTCTGTCACCCAGAGCCATATTTAACAAGCTGTTCCCCCATCTGCATTCCTGTCCCTTCCTGTTTTTAATCTAGCTTGTTTCTTTCTTTCTTTCTTTCTTTTTTTGAGTTGGAGTCTCACTCTGTAGCCCAGGCTGGAGGGCAGTGGCAAGCTCACGGCCACTGTAGCCTCGACCTGCTGGGCTCAGGCAATCCTTCCACATCAGCTTTTCAAGTAACGGGAAGCACAGACACGCACCACCACACCTGGCTAATTTTTTGGTTTGTTATAGAGACGAGGTCTTGCCAAGTTGCTCAGACTGGTCTCGAACCCCTAGGCTCAGGCAGTCCTCTCGCCTTGGCCTCCCAAAGTGCTGAGATTACAGGTGTGAGCCACTGCACCCAACAAGCTTGTTTCTGCCCCATCAGCAAACACATCATGCCCCCAGAGGGCCTTTCCTGAGTCCCAGATGTGGTTAGCTCACCCAGGTGATTGCCTAGCTCTGTGTTCACAGATCCAACTTTTCCTAACTCCTGTGGCCCTTGCAATTCCATATATGAGGTCTGTCTCTCTCATAGAGGTGGCTGGGACTTCATCTTGTTTACTATTGTAGCTTAGGCACTCAGCACAAGCACTCAATGAATATGTGCTGAGTGAACAGCTGGATGCTGGGTGTTTTTTTTTCTTTAATCTTTGCCAATTGGACAGGCAGATTGCTTATAAATGGGCTAAACTGATGTTACTTAGACATTCTGCTGCTGCAGTTCACACAAGGGGTGTTTACAGGCCAGACACTGTGGGTGTACCTGCCTGCTGTTACCCACAGCTTGTAGCACTTAGATGCACCTCCATCCCTTTTCCTCTCATTCAGAGAAGTGTTTGAAGGATATGAATTGTTCCCTTGTGTGTGTGTGTTTTTAAACTATTTGCAAACATTGGTGCTTTATTTTTTGTAAAAACTTATTTGAAACGCATCTGCAACTGCTCACAACATACCACTGCTGAATCAAGGTAACAGAATTGAGAACCTGTACTCATCAAGAGGATCTACCGCCCGGGCACAGTGGCTCATGCCTATAATCCCAGCACTTCGGGAGGCTGAGGTGAGAGGATTGCCTGAGCCCACGGGTTCAAGACCACCCTGGGCAACTTGGCAAGACCTCATCTCTACAATAAATCAAAAAATTAGCCGGGCGTGGTGGCACATGACTATAATTCTAGATACTTGGAAGGTTGAGGCAGAAGAATCACCTGAACACAGCAGGGCAAGGCTATGGTGCCCGTGAGTATGCCACTGCACTCCAGCCTGGGCGACAGAGTGAGACTCCAACACAAAAAAAAAAAGAGGACCTACTAAGGAAGATTTAGATTCACATGGGATAGTGGTTGCCACTAGTATTCATTTGGATTCTTCTCAGATGCTCCTGTAGCCCATCAGTTTGTTTGTTGAGAGAAGTACGAGATATAGTGACTCACAGAGTTGTTAAAATGTCAGACTTGGAATAAGTCAAACCTGGTTCAGAATCACTAGTACTGGGATTTTGGGCAAGTTACTTAACTTATATAAACCTAAATTTCTACATCTATAAAATGAAAATAATGGTGGTTCTTATTTCTGAAGGCCATTGTGAAAGTTAAATAAGATAATCTGTGTAAATCACTTAAGTGTTATTTTTTGGAAGATGTAATATTTATTTACTTTTTTTTTTTTTTTTTTTTTTTTGGAGTCTCACTCTGTCGCCCAGACTGGAGTGCAGTGGCCGCTCCCAGCCACTGCAGCCTCGACCTGCTGGGCTCCAGCGATCCTTCCGCCTCAGCCTTCCAAGTAGCTGGAACTACAGGCGCGCGCTACCACACCCGACTAATTTTTGATTTATTGTAGAGATGAGGTCTCGCCAAGTTGCCCAGGCGGGTCTCGAACCCGTGGGCTCAGGCAATCCACTCACCTCAGCCTCCCAAAGGCGTGGGATTACAGGCTGAGTCACCAAGCCCGGCTTATTTACATATTTTTAGAGACAGGGTCTTGCTATGTTGCCCAGGCTGGTCTTGAACTCTTGAACTCAAATGAACCTTTCTTTTCAGCCTCCAAAGTTTATATAGGCATGAACCACTGCACCCAGCCATCATGTGGATGTCTGTGAAAGACACTTGAAAATTCCAGGTTCAGCCGGGCTCGGTGGCTCAGCCTGTAATCCTGCGCCTTTGGGAGGCTGAGGTGAG